TCAGATCCAAGTTCATGGGTAATGGCACGCAAAATTTTCATTACATCTCGGCCTCTACCTGTTTTTTTGCGTTTCTTCGTTTCTCTGCTTGATGGACATGCTTCATTTCCACTTGACACTGAATAGTCACTATCCATTGTGTACAAAACTCTAAATACTACAACAAAAAACTGGCCTAGCTAATAATATTGCTAAAATATACGCATTTAATGCAACAACACATGCACGTAGACACGAATTATAATAAACTACCGGCTGAAGCAATAAAAACTAGCAGTGAACTACGCCGCGTCGTCATCCGAATTACCTGCAGACATGGACTGATGCCGTTTCACTGAAGTCACTCTTCCCAAGTATAGCGTATGTTTTAGCTGTTGTTTTGTGGACTCAAGCGGTTTTTACCATTTAATGATTTCATTATATGATAGTAACAACAAAATGGCATAAAATGATACTATGAGCTGAGTTTGGCAAAAAATGGACTAATGCCGTTTTCCCAAATACGTTTAAATAAAATATACGACGGCCTCCCCATAAGAGCAATGAGAGGATTTACGTCCCAGTATTGAAGGAGGACAGAAAATCGAGTCGAATGTTCAAGACATAGGTTCATCCTTGTTTTGTCAAACCTTCTACAAACCAAGGATAGACATATGTAGGAAATGCATTGAAATTCTATAGCCATCCTTCAATATCGGGACAGGAATTTAAGCGGTACCCTCCCTATACTTTATTTTAAACGTATTTGCGTTTTCACCTGGAGCCTTCATATGTAAAGTCGCGATTATTATCTTTCCTCTTCCCATACATACTAGATTCTACATTCTACAATTCAATCAATATTTGCCTCAATTTTTTTATGAACTGTTTTTTTAAATTAATCCCATTTGTGTACGTAATATAACAGTGGAGAGGAGTAGCAACATATTATATGAAAAATAGAGCCTAATTGAAAATACTAAACTAGATGCCCTAGCTTATTTCTAAAAAAAATATGTTTTAATTATTCAATTTATTTAAAGCTAGAGACTGGTACTATATATTGGATAATATACAGGGTCGCTGATATGTATGGGAACGATCGATTATTAGGTAAAATATAAGAGGTACCGTAAAAAGTTAAATACAAAAGTTGTAGGGTTTTTAAATATCTATTAGCGGGTAATATATTTAAGTATACAGGATCGGTCATAAAATCGAGGTACATCAAAGTTTCATTTATTTAAATGGAACCCCCTGTATATTATTGCATATTTCGGTTCTTCCAAAAATCGAAATGCACACAAGGAACCTCAAACCAACCGTTTCCGAGTTATTCACTTTTAAAAATATCACTTAAACAATCCGATTTAATTAATTTTGATGAGCTCGGTTTCATTTAACGATGTCATTGTGTGGAAACTGTGATACTTAATAATATTTGACATTAGTTTTCAAATTAGCATTTATAGATGTATAAAATGAAATTATATCAAGTCTGGAAATTACAAATTACAAAATTTTTGTTTAACATTTTAGAATCAAAACTTCATAATTCGAAAATGGTTGAATCTACGTACACTGTGTGTATTATGATTATGTACCTAAATTCAATAACTCGGAAACGGTTGGTTTGAGGTACATTGTGTGTATTTCGATTTTTGCTTAAAAGTTCGATTTTTGCTTAAGAACCGAAATATGCAATAATATACATGGGGTTCCATTTAAAAAAATAAAACTTTGATGTGCCACGACTTTATGATCGATCCTGTATACTTAAATTTATTAACCGCTAATAGATATTTAAAAACCCTGAAACTTTTTTATTTAACTTTTTGCGATACCTCTTATATTTTACCTAATAATCGACCGTTCCCATACATAGATGGATTACAACGACCCTGTATTATGAGATTATGATTTTTATTAGGAACGATCGATGCATCCAAAATATCGATGTATTTTTATCGAGGCCATCCCTAATGCGCGGCATACCTTATAGCGCCATATCCTTTCGTTCTACAAAAAGGCATGCGATAATCTTTAGCAAAATAGAATCACGTATTCGGTGAATATCAAGCTGTTGCATAAAGTAGTCCGTTCTCTTATCTACCTATGAGCCAACACATGCCTTATTTTCTTGATTTTGCCATATCTGAAACCAGGACTTATACGGTAAAGAGTCGACGAGATTCTTTCCTGTTCAGTTCCTCCCCTTCGTTGAATTAGTAGAAAAAAATATATATATCTGCAAAATTCGTTGCTCTAGTCATTTAATTGATATTCACACTATTAAAAAAAATAGCGCCGGGAGGCACGTATAGCCGCCCATACTAAAATATGTAAATAAAAAGTTGGTATATAGGCAGTTCTTTTAGTTTCAAAGTAAAGGAATTTTTCCAATTTTGTCCGCGGTTATTTCTCCTATCCGCCACCTGGGGTCGCGTCCGATGGGAGTTTGGAGTTCTCCACACGGATTTTCTCAAAAACGGACTACGGAGACACGGAATATCTCAAAAACTGCGACTTTGACTGATTTTGATGTTATTGCAAATTTTGTTGCAAATATTATTCCTAATCTTAAATTGAAAACCGCGTTTCGAGCTACTGTAATTTTGGAGTTACGATTTTTTTAAATTTTTAACCCCCTCCCATACCCCCTTACCAACCCCCCATCCCCATCAAAAACTAATGGCCAGATTTTTGGGTGCCACAGTATTTTTGTGCCAAATTTGGTTAAAATCGGTTTAGCGGTTTTGAGTTATCGTGTTACAGACGGACAGACAGACAGAGAGACAGACAGACAGACACCATGAAGATATTTTGTATTTAGGTCGTTTATGACCCAAATAACTCATTTTGAGTGAAATTAAAAAAAATTTGCCGAACTTAATAGCCTCCCAAGTAGCAAAAAGAAATTCTAAAAGGATTGAATTATTTTATAACAGTCGAATAGCGTTGTCTAGGACTGCTTGATTTTATTAAGCGTTTGGTTTCGACCATTCTGTTTTTTAATAAAAGTTGTCATATTAAACTATTTTCTAGTGGTTTTTACAACGTATCCTATAACGCATTAAACGATAATTTCTTTTAGTATGATATAACACTTAATAAGACAATGCTATATGATAACAAACATATTATTTTATTAGACTCTTATACCCACCATGTAAAAGTTCTATAATATTCATATAACTAGTAGTCACAAGATCATATAATAGTTACTTAAACTTGTCTTATTAAAGTTGTATTACGTTGTATGATAGAATGTTTTCTTGCGTTAACTACGGTGCTGTATACAACACTAGTTATATAGCCTTATATGATAAAATTGTGATTAACAAAATAAATTCGCTGTAATATCTGCATTATAAAACTGGTAATGTATAATATAACCTCATTTTAAATTAAATGGTATACGTAGTTATTTATTTTGTTATTGTTGTTGTTGCAAAAGTAATATCTACGTACGAGTATAATCAATCACAGCTATTATGAATTCTGGACAAAGTTGGAAAAAAGTTAACATACGCAGTGGTAGTTATAAAGAGCATGTAAGAAAAAACTCATCGAAATTACGGCAAATAATCCCGAGAATTCCCTGGGTTCCCAAAAGCCAAAACCTCTCGGGTTGTCTGGCTTCTTCAAAGCATTGTTGCCACGTTGATGTAAAAGTTTTACTGTAGTAATGTTTGTATTGTTTTATTGTTGTTTTTCCAAGTCCTTAGGTTGCCGCTCACTCGTCGGGCATGCATGAAATGCATTGCGTGCATAAATCCATGAAAACCTGATCATGTTTGTTAGTTTAAATACTAATCAAATGAGATTTGCCAACATCCATTTGTCACAAATCTCAATATGTCAAAAATAGTTCTATAGTGCCTGGAAATTCTGCGTAATGATAGATATTTATCTTATACCGTTTTATTTTACCACAAAGACTTATTTAAGGGATTCATTTATAATAAAATGGTTGCATTATAATTCGCCATGTTTAAGGCAGAATTTTTGTATGGCCTATGGCCGCCATTATATGAAGCAAAATTAAAAACATCAAAATAAATTGTAAAATGTTTTTTTTGAGAACTATTTTGTGATAAGATTCCCACATACAGTAATAAACTGTTTAATTAAATTAAAAACAAGAATTTTTGAAAATTTTATTTTATTTTATTGTTTAAATTTATACGTAAACCTAAATCGAAATTAAAGCGCTTTAATTTTTTGCCAAATACATACCTAATCTACCAGTAAATTTTCGGCGCAACAAAATTGTCCCTACTTTTCAAATCCAAATATTTTTTATATTATATATTTGTTGTACCTTCTGGCTCTACCCGCCATTTTCACCGTCGAGTAAAGTCTCCTTTTTAACAATCCACATCCTCCAGATTCATTTTACGACACGCTTAAAATATAATTTGCTCCTGATTTTCTTCGGTAAAAAATAAAATACCCTTTTACCTCCATAAATGATCAAATGTTTTATTGTTCTGTTTCTAAGATGTGAGCACGTAATACACAATAAAACTAGTTTTATAATAGTTATATAACGCTGTGTAAAATAGTTGCATAAGAGTTGTATACCCTTTTTATAGAACTTCTATACTACTAAACGGTTGTATAAGAATGGGCCTTTTTTGGTTGTAAAGCTATCATATTACGGTCTTATAGCACGTTATACGAATTGAGGTATCCTATAAAAATGATCACATAGCTGTTTATACAGCCTTTATAAAATAAAATTTGCTACTTGGGCTCTACCCGACTCTACCATACCTGTAGGTATGGTCGGCTAAAAATTGTATAAGACTATAGAGTACTAAAACTATGATCTAAAGTAAAATTGAAGAAAAATGAAGTCCAAGCAGAAGACAAAGGTCAGTAAAAAACACCAGAGAGTGGACAGGAATAAATGTTTAAACTCGCGCCAAAATAGCAGAAAGACGAAAAGAATTATTTGTAGTTCGCCAATATTCGTTGAGAGGAAGCACCTAGATAGACGATAAAAGATAAACCTATTTAGGTTAAAAAATTTATTGCACAATATCATACATTTACAGGGTTAACCAATATGGTTACGATAATCGCTCCTAAACAACTAATTCACAAAATCTTAACTGCATATATCCCTAGCGGCGAAAATGCAGCGCCTGCTATACTCATGAAGAATGTAAGAATAAGCATTCCTAATTCCACTCTATTACCTGGAAGCAACCTGCAAAAATAAAGAAATGTTTATTTCATTAATATTAATATGTAATACTGTAATAATAAATAATATGTAATTTACTTATTTACGTGTCACTTTTAGACTTCTTAATTTATTTATGAATAAAATACGGTATAATCATAACCTCGATCATAACAAAATTTTAAAGCAATTTTCATTATAATCTATTATATACCCAGTGACATAAGTTACAGTTGAGGGTTGGAACCTTTGGTGTTACACAGCAAAATAAAACACTAAATCACCACAATACACCAAAATACTTTTACTTTTACACTGGACGCGCGTTTCGCTAACCATGTTAGCATCATCAGCAGATGATTATAAACTCAAAAGTTAAGGGAGTTTATATTCATCTGCTGATGATGCTAACATGGTTAGCGAAACGCGCGTCCAGTGTAAAATTAAGTGTTTTGATGTATTGTGGTGATTTAATGTTTTATTTTGTTTTATTTTGACATAAGTTAACTAAATAATTCTTGATATGGATGAAACTGTTTTAATAAGTACATATCTAGGAAAATGCATCTCTAAAAAAAATAAAAATAATAAAATCTACTTCATATCATGAGACAGATGTAATTTGAAGAGAGAGCAAAGTAGTATAGTACAGGGTGTTCCATTAAAAAAAAATCATCCAGATCCACTCACACTTTTTTGAGCCACCCTATAGAAGTTAAAATATTTTCCGAAAATACATCCTCATACATACTTTAGGTTTACACCTAAACAAAATTCTCAAGTTTTTTAATCTAGGAGGTACAGATGCCCGACGCACTATTGCCGGATCCTGTATAACATATAACATTTACTGCATTAATTATCAAGAAACTTATTTTGAATTGCCATCATATAACGTTTTGATTGGTGTATAGCTTTTGTTTTAAATCTATAATTGTAGATAATGAAAACATTACTAACAACTTCAATTTTGATTGAGAAAATTGGAGTCCAAAATCAATATCCACACTTTTACTCCCAAACAAACTTACCTAATTGTCTTCATAGACATAAGAGTAGCAATAAACCCTTGCAAAAATGCATAGGTTGCCATGGCAAAACTGTACTGCCAATCATGAGTCAAAATCACCGGCAGATGATGTCTAGGTTTTGCATTGGCGAAGAATATACATGTTGTTGATACTGCTTGAAATCCGGTAACTATCAGATAAATGATGGGAATAGGGCAATCCTAAAAGTAAGAGAGTATGAAATTAAATAAACTTAAAATTATTTTAAAAATTATTAATTTAAATCAGATTTTATGAGATGGCTATTGGGTTATTGCGACCTTTGCAGATCCATTGTAGACTTAGAAGAGATCTATAGATTACAGAGTACAATAATAATCTAATCACTTGAGGACTTTTTGTAATGGCTTATTTTTGTTTCACACAAAGGACCGAACATTTGCCAGACTATCACATTAAACTAGAATGCGTTCTCTGCGTTTCTTCTTTCAGTTGACAGAATCTGCAATTGCTTTGTCTGTCAAACCCTTACATTCTTATTGAGCTCGCAATGCCCTTTTATTAGAACCACTATAGATTTCTCAGTTTTCCTTTTTTGCTTATCAGATCTGCCTGATCTGCTGTAATTTCGGCGAGTCTTCTACTGTGGTTCTACTATGACCTATTTTACCTGTCCCTGATAATTTTTCCCCAATTTTAGAGATTTATTGGCGACCCACTATTTTGTGGCATTTTTGTAAATGTATTTATATGGAATCAAATAATCGTTCTGAATTTGTGAGTAACATTGATGCGCCTTGTTTGATCATTTCATCTGCCTCTTCTTAGCATTTGGGATTCTCCTAACTGTACTACACTGTAACTGTCAAAATGCATTTCCTACGAAAACTTGAAGAGATAGGTAAAAAATGGTATAATACAATTCGATAGACAATTAAATTGTGCATCTGATTCTCGCAAAAAGGAACACCCTATATTCCATTTAAAACAAACAACTTATTGCCGTTTAAAGCTAGTAGTTATTTAATATAAATTTTTGGACACTCTGTATAAAGTAGTATAATTTTTATTTTTGCAACACCAATATCTGATCAATAAATAATCTTCAGTAAATATTTAGTATTAAAACGTTTAATACCCTTGGAGAAATGAAGCATTAATTTTTTTACTATTGTTTAAAAATTTCTATAAAATTTGACCTTGTCGGCGCCATTATGGTTTCCTAGTCAGGGCCGGATTAAAACGTATTAAAAAATTTCTCAGAAAACACGACAGGGTCGTATTAAAAAAATACTGTAATTGACTGAAACTGTATTTTATTTACAATACTTTGTCCAAACAAATGAATCGTTAACCGCGCATACTTCTCGAAAAGTAAAAATGAAAATCAATTAAATATTTCACTGTAGAGAATAGACAGTTAAAATTAAAAAACATGCAACTAACAAAAACATGCCACGAGTTACAAACAAGAATTAAAAAATACCAATAAAATATTTATTGAACAATATAAAGAGGCTACGTACAAATTATGCCCATCAATGGGCTAGCAAATTTTATTAATATTCAAATTTCACAAATTAATAAATCCACAATTTTTTTTGAGAAACTTCTATTTTTTTCATGGCAGGAAACAGTAGGTACCGCATTGTATTTTATACGGTTACAAAGTGAATTGGTAAACATTTTAAATTCAAAGTGAACAGAACACAACCTGTACTTGTGGGCCTTATTTATATCTTCAATCAAGTCTTCTCTATTAGCTGCAATTGCCCATGTTCTTGCCCTAAAAATGTATTGTTAACTTATTTTCGATATAATCATTTTATTTATTTTTATAATTATATTTAAATGAATAATATAATGATTTTTAAATTTAATTTTTAATGTCTAGATTCTAGATACAACATTAAATTTATTTTACTAAATATTTAACATTAAATCTTACTAATATTAAAGTTTGTTAAGATTTTTAATTAGATCTTCCTATTTAGCTGAATGTCCTAATATGTATACTACTGTTTTTTTTTACAACTAAAATATGTTAAAATAATTAATCACATATATACATACCTAATAGGATCTCTAGGAAACAGAAAGAAACTTTTATTGAACAACAAAAATAAAACTACTAAAACAAATTATATTATATAATAATAATAATAGCTCCCGTATGACGCCTTGGGAGTAGCAAGGTTCAGCTTGCCATACTAGAGCCGTTCGGTATACAAAGGAAGGTAATGTGGCTAGCACTACGCTTCAACCGTCTATTATTACCTCAGGATTGTGAATCCCAAGTACTCATTTAAAGCTGAGTCGACCTAGGTACCCAAACTATTTTTATTTTAATAAAAATTGTCGGCTGATGAAATGCCGGGTGTGGGATTCGAACCCACTACCTTGAGATTGGTAGACGAGAGCCTGTACATCTACGCCACCGGGCACCTATTGGCAACTATATTACATAAGAAACGAAAATAAAACTAGAAAAACCAAATATATCACATAATAAACAAAAATAAAACAACAAAAACAAAATATATCACTCAAGAAAAAAATTAAAATAAATTAAGCCGCACGCTACTGACTCGAATCTGCCGTAACTGTGTGTTGTCGCTGAAAAAACTACGACACTGGTTACTTTCTGTTGATGGAAACGCAAATGGCGGCGTGCGCGAGGATATGCGCGTAGCGTTCCCGCCAAAGCGAGTTAGCCTGCCGTATGATTTATATGCCGTGCTATGAATTTAATCAACAAATTTTACTTATACAGGGTTGTTCACCACATATGACACGGAGTATTGTAGCTAAACGATTAGATTTTTACAAATTGTAATGTTTGGGTTCGTTAAAGGACTATTAGAGGTACAATTTAAAAATTATTTTACAAGATACAGAGTGTCCCAAGTAAGTAAAAAATATTATAGTTGTATTTTTTTAACTGGAACACCCTGTATATTATTCTATTTTTAGATTCTACGGTTGAAACAAAGATAAATTTGATTAAGGTTTATCACACTTAAACCTTACCGTTTTAGAGATATTTTCAATTTTGTGAAATTGCAGTAAAAAATTTAAGGCTTGATTTCTCCAAGGGTACTAAAGATTTTAATACTATATATTTACTGAAGATTATTTATTGATCAGTTATTGTGTTGCAATAATAAAAATTATACTACCTTATACAGAGTGACCAAAAATTTATATTAAATACTTATTAGCTTTAAACGGCAATAAGTTGTTTAATATAAATGGAACACCCTGTATATATTACGAGAATCAGATGCATAATTTAATTGTCTATCAAATTGTATTATACCATTTTTTACCTATCTCTTCAAGTTTTCGTACAAAATGCATTTTCTTATAATTTAGACCTGATTTATCACTATACCCATGAAATATTGACATTTTAGATTTTTTTAAAGCAACATAATATGTACAAAATGTACAGGTGGTAAAAATAATATTATTGCAAGCCCATTTGTTTATAAAAAGGAAACTATTTAAATCTTTGTAAAAGAGTATACCAATTATTATTACTAATTATTAATCCATTATTTCCGTCCAAAAATTAGTTAATTACATACTTAATTGTTTTAATTAAAAACTATTCTAAATAAATGTGGATTTGACTCAGAAATCAATACAATAATAAGTTAAATACAATAATATGTTATGAAAATGAACGTCTCTGTTATAAATAAGCATTTGTCAAAAAATGAAATAAAATTAATAAGGTGTTACTTTTTACCATACTGTCTAATACACATACAAAATTCAGTTTTTTAGTATATAGAGCAATTATTATTAATCAACGTAAACGGACAATTAATGTAGTTTGACTACTGGGATCAAATTAATTATTGATCCTCTTTAACAAAATTAATTAGAGAACTATATCGACAATATTAGTACCTGTACTATTTGAAAATTTGTTACATCTTTAAAAATAATCTAAAATGTCAATATTCCATGGGTATAGTGATAAATCAGGTCTAAATTATAACAAAATGCATTTCCTACGAAAACTTGAAGAGATAGGTAAAAAATGGTATAATACAATTCGATAGACAATTAAATTGTGCATCTGATTCTCGCAAAATGGAACACCCTATATTCCATTTAAAATAAACAACTTATTGCCGTTTAAAGCTAGTAGTTATTTAATATAAATTTTTGGACACTCTGTATAAAGTAGTATAATTTTTATTTTTGCAACACCAATATCTGATCAATAAATAATCTTCAGTAAATATTTAGTATTAAAACGTTTAATACCCTTGGAGAAATGAAGCATTAATTTTTTTACTGCAATTTCACAAAATTGAAAATATTTCAAAAACGGTAAGGTGTAAGTGTGATAAACCTTAATGAAATTTACCTTTATTTCAATCCTAGAATCTAAAAATAGAATAATATACAGGGTGTTCAATTTAAAAAAATACAAACTATGAAAACTTTTACTTATTTGGGAGACTCTGTATCTTGTAAAATATGTTTAAATTGTACCTATAATAGTCCTTCAACGAACCCAAAACTTACAATTTGTAAAAATCTAATCGTTTAGCTACAATACTCCGTGTCGTATGTGGGGAACAATAACACTATATAATTCCCAATATACTAAATTATAATACAAATGTATATTTGATATCAATTAAACTTTTAGTTAGGTAATCGAGCGCGCTATTTTTAAATTCATTGTTGCCAACCATGGCCATAACCGTCGCCGTGCCGACTAACTGGAATTTAAATTTCGCACTGGGTATTCAGGTGGTAGCTCTGCTGTAAAAAATGTCAAATTGTCGCGTTGATTTATTTATTTCCTTTCCTTCTTTTTTTCCGTTTTGACATTTTAGTATTGTATTACGAGTTTTTGGTTTAAATAAATAGTGTTGTCATACTTTAAGCTTAAAAATGTTTACTAGCAGACCTTGCAGTCGAACATTGTTCTTTTTAGAACCTCTTTTAGTGCGAAGTGTACAAGATAGCTTAATAGCCGTAAAAACACATCGCAACTCTATTACAATATTTTGAACAGGAAAGCGGTAGTAATTATCCTTTATGTCCCTTAAGTGCTGTTAAGAATGTAAGTTTTGTTGATGTAAATAATAACTGTAATTATTTATAATTAATTTATTTTTGTTTCTTAAACTATTTTCATGTAAAGAAAATATATAAAAGTGGGCAACGCTGTGCCGGCCAAGCTTAATAACGTGACTAAAAATTTATTTGGTATGAATTTTAGACTTACCCAATCAATTTTACTATAAATAGCACGACCAAATGTATTAGCAATTGATGGTATTAAAAATGTACATACTGTTACAAAATAGCGATCTACAAAAATGTTATACTAAATAAAATGTACCATACAATCGAAAAAAAAAACGGCGTCATTGACGACTTTTCTTTAAAATTCCAGAAAAGATATAGTTTTGACAACAGATTTGTGTGTCCCTGAAATCGTCCTATCCGTTATCAATTTTTAATCTCTCTAAGTATTCTCTAAGTTTTATGCCAATTTTAGTAAATTACGTTTATAGGTTGACCTCGACAAATTTGTCATCGATTGTCATTCCCCAGCCGTCTTTGGCGCCTATTTTTCGATTACACGGTATTAACACTGTAAAAAAAGTACTAATTTTTTCGTTGCCTTTACTTACTTGCCCATACATTATTAGGGTCGTTACTATTTTCTGATACAACTAGGTTGTAAATTGATGATAATGGAGCCATTATAAATAAGGCGTTTAAGAATATCATATGCCAAACACATTTTGTAACTCTGAATAGCTCCTTTGTATCACGGACCTTTTCCTTCTTATCTGCTTTAGTGTTGGAATTATAATATCTATGATAGAAATAAAAAAAATAATACAACAAATTAAATTGCATAGAACTAGATATGAGGTTGTTTTTCTCATTTTTCAGAAAAACAATAACCGATAGTAAGTACTTTTGAGACGTTTCAATTTTTTTCGGCTATTTATTAAGATTATCGGCTATTTAAGATCTTTTAAAATTGCTGTTTTTCTATTAAATAAAATAAATGTTCAGATGAAAAAAAAACGCAACGGAGAAATTTTTGGTCAAATTTAAAGTGTTATATGTTTGTTATTTTTAGCCCTATTTTTACGAATTTTTTAGCAAACTGTATATAATTATATCAACTTTAATTTGTAAACTAAATTTTTTATAAACTTTAGTATTTCGCATATTATACAGGGTTAATCGAGGGGTTGTTTTTTACCCTAACTTTAAAACACCTTGTGCAATAATTTCGTGTGTATATTTTCCTAAAATATAATTTTACGGTCAGAAATTCCTGACCATTTTGTTTTTTGATTCATGTCAATGTTGTGTACGAGAGGTGTTGTAATATGTCGTAATATGTTGTAATTAAGGATTATTCCCAAGTAGCAAAAAGAAATTCTAAAAGGATTAAATTATTTTATAACAGTCGAATAGCGTTGTCTTAAGGACTGCTTGATTTTATTGAGCGTTTGGTTTGGCGACCATTCTGTTTTTTAATAAAAGTTGTCATATTAAACTATTTTCTAGTAGTTTTTACAACGTATCCTATAACGCATTAAACGATAATTTCTTTTAGTATGATATAACACTTAATAAGGCAATGCTATATGATAACAAACATATTATTTTATTAGACTCTTATACCCACCATGTAAGAGTTCTATAATTTTCATATAACTAGTAGTCACAAGATCATATAATAGTTACTTAAACTTGTCTTATTAAAGTTGTATTACGTTGTATGATACAACGTTTTATTGCGTTAAACTATGGTGCGACGGTGCTGTATACAACACAGTTATATAGCCTTATATGATAAAATTGTGATTAACAAAATAAATTCGCTGTAATATCTGCATTATAAAACTGGTAATGTATAATATAACCTCATTTTAAATTAAATGGTATACCTAGTTATTTATTTTGTTATTGTTGTTGTTGCAAAAGTAATATCTACGTACGAGTATATTCAATCACAGCTATTATGAATTCTGGACAAAGTTGGAAAAAAGTTAACAAACGCAGTGGTAGTTATAAAGAGCATGTAAGAAAAAACTCCTCGAAATTACGGCAAATAATCCCCAGAAGTCCCTGGGTTCTCAAAAGCCAAAATCTCTCGGGTGGTCTCGCTTCTTCAAAGCATTGTTGCCACGTTGGTGTAAAAGTTTTACTGTAGTAATGTTTGTATTGTTTTATTGTTGTTTTTCCTTAGGTTGCCGCTCACTCGTCGGGCACGCATGAAATGCATTGCGTGCATGAATCCATGAAAATCTGATCATGTTTGTTAGTTTAAATACTAATCAAATGAGATTTGGCAACATCTATTTGTCACAAATCTCAATATGTCCAAAATAGTTCTATAGTGCCTGGAAATTCTGTGTAATGATAGATATTTATCCTATACCGTTTTATTTTACAACAAAGACTTATTTAATGGATTCATTTATAATAAAATGGTTGCATTATAATTCGCCATGTTTAAGGCAGAACTTTTGTATGGCCTATGTCCGCCATTATATGAAGCAAAATTAAAAACATCAAAATACATTGTAAAATGTTATTTTTGAGAACTATTTTGTGATAAGATTCCCACATACAGTAATAAAGTGTTTAATTAAATTAAAAACAAGAATTTTTGAAAATTTTATTTTATTTTATTGTTTAAATTTATATGCAATAATCTACCAGTAATATTTTCGGCGAAACAAAAATTGTCCCTACTTTTCAAACCCTATTAATGATTTTTTATAGTACATATTTGTTGTACCTTCTGGCTCTACCCGCCATTTTCATTGTCGAGTAAAGTCTCATTTTTAACAATCCACATCCTCTAGATTCATTTTGCGACACGCTTAAAATATAATTTGCTCCTAATATTCTTCGGTAAAAAATAAAATACTCTTGTACCTCGCTAAATTATCAAATGTTTTTATTGTTCTGTTTCAGACCACGTAATACACAATAAAACTAGTTTTATAATAGTCATATAATGCTGAGTAAAATAGTTGCATAAGAGTTGTATACCCTTTTTATAGAACTTCTATACTACTAAACGGTTGTATAAAAATGGGCCTTTTTTGGTTGTAAAGCTATCATATTACGGTCATATAGGACGTTATATGAATTAAAAATAGAAAACAAATTTCTTGCAGTAGAGGTATATAATAAAATTATATAAGGATTCTTGCCACTTAACTGCTAATATAGAAATTTAATTATACGCTGTTTGTCATAATGCGGATCAACCTGCTCTCACTACCGGTTTCGGAGCCCTACTCCATCATCAGGTGAGCTTGGGAGATCCACAAGATGACAACCACAGTGCAGAGATAGTTAATTCCGACTTGTCGGAAAGTATCGGTTAGATATTAAGTCCCGAACGGGAGATAGCGGCCTGCGTGCAATGGTAGTACTTTCGCACCACCGAGGCGCAACTATCGATAGTAAAAGGATGGTAAAAGTTTTAAAGTTAAGGAATAAAAACAACCTCTCGATTAACCCTGTATAATATGCCAAATTTAAAGTTTATAAAAAACTGAGTTTACGAATTAAAGTTGATATAATTATCCACAGCTTGCTAAAAAAATTATGAAAATAGGGCTAAAAATAACAAAAATATAACACTTTAAATTTGACCAAAAATTTCTCCGTTGCGTTTTTTTTGCATCTGAGTGTATAATAAAACAATGCTAATAAATCGAAATTTTGTTTGGAAAACCATTTAAAAAAACTTACCTCTTGCACATAGAAACAATTAATTTAAATAGGTAAGAGAACAATAATTAGATAGAAATAGATATTTATTGAAATAGCAAAGAGCCAGAATTTAGAATTACACCGTGTGGTCAAAATAATTTTCTGCATGTTTAAAACTCTCCTAAAAATTCCCCTCTCTGAATGGAAATGTTTTCCCAAATTTAATATGCGAAGAATCACTCTGTACTAGTTATGTGTCGGTATTTGAGTAACGCAATTTTGGAGCGGTATTTTTTGTAACGTTGTAACCTGTTACGGAAGAACGACGATCATAATAACGACAAAACTATAAATTATTTATAATTTCCAAATATATTATTTACAATCGTCTTGGAGTTAGCTCAAACCGCAGTAACCGCATAGCGCCTTATTTCGCTCCAGCGGTCGCGCTCCTAGGGTCGCGAACACTAGTAACTGGAACTGGTAAGTACGTAACGTCGCGGAATCTCGAACGCTTCGTCTGTCGCGAAGAGTTGCAACTGGTAACGACCTAATACGCTATACCGCGAGGTACTTCGTTCCAGTGCCAGTGGTCGCGCGACTGAACTGGAACACTGTATCACAGTTACTGTATCATCCTGTATAGTAAATAGTAATTATAAAGCGTTATTGATAATTTATCTTAAATGCTCTAAATATATTTTAATATGACCACAGTTTAAAAAAAATGTTTCACAATCAATGATATTCTTAAAAGACTATACTAACCAATTAAAAAAAAATCTTTATCATTACGATTACCTAAAATATCTCGTACGTCCTGCGATTACTGTCAGAATGGTGGAGAGGAACATGAGCGCGCTGCCTGTTACGAAGTAAATCAACGCTGATCCTGTAGGCGACGGAGAAATTACGATGGATATTAGTCTCATAATGGCATTAAACATGGCCGCAAATCCTTCTCCTACGAGATAAGCTTTAATGTAGACCGGTGGCAGTCTGGAGAATAGACCGAACTGTCCAGCTGCGCCAAACGATATTGAAGCTAAAACGTTTGTTGTGTTACTGAAAATAATTTATTAAAAGTACTAATTTAATTTATTTTTGTTGACTTCTTTCACCCTCTTTTGTATATTTATGGTTAACTTATTCTTGGTATTTGGTCCCATTTAATTAATACGATTCGTTTTAATTAAAATTATTATAAAAGTTTTAATTAAATTAATATAACGTTTCGATCAAATTTTGATCTTTTTCTCCTTCAATGTTCTTAATGAATTCTCAATACTGAAATGAGACCAAATGCCAAGAATAAGTTAACCACAAAAGTACTAATTTATTAGTACAGGGTGCTTCTACTTTGTTTCTTAGCTACAGGTGGTTAAAGTCTTAATTTTTTTTTATTTTATTATAATTTTTTCCAAGTGCTTTAAGAGACGAATGTAGAATGTAGAATGTTTGGGAGGGGAGTAAATCACCATGACCTTACAGATCTATTGTGTGTCCCCCTTTCTTAAGTTATATCTTATTATACAGTCTCAGGGCTTTGAAGAAAGCCAGTACATGAGACGGCTTCACAGCGGCTAGTTCTCCATCTCCGATATCAGTCGTACCAAAGTTTGTGGCAGACATTGGTTGTCGTCTCAGTGCTGCTCAGTGATTCCCCTTTTTCCCTACAGAATCTGAACCCGCCGTTGTTTCTTAGTTTCAGTCTTAAAGACCAGTTCGTTGAGAAGACAGTGTCCTGTTAAAAATCCCGTGACAATCCGAAGATTGTTCTTACATAAATCAAGGAAAAATCTTTGATTCACTTCATTGCTGTCTGGGTATTTATTGACATGAGAAATTTGGATTTCGAAATCATATTCCTTGTAGGGGGTGCCACCGCTATGCAAGACGTTAGAAGTAGGAATCATATTGATAGCAGAATGTCATGTCAAAAAACCAGACAGCAATTTTCATCCAAATTTAGATATTATTTGGAATTGTGGGAAATCAAAATGAAACTTCTACACCCTGTATATCTGACACGAAGCGTTTTTTATCATATGCTGCCAAGGTTTCCTGAATACAATTCGGATCACCCTGTATATCCGATCTGAATAGACAGTTTGTTTCAATGTTACAATCTTAGATATCATAGATATTTCCAGACGCACACCCCTTATTGTTTAACGCCACTTAACTTCTGCAATCGATCAGAAATAGGTGTTTCTATGTAGCCTTTTTTTAATCTTTTACGATGGATTTTTTATACTAAAAGCTAAAATTAATATACAGGGTGAGTCTTAAATAACTTAAATTTTTTTCAAGGCTGGTAGATCTCTATAAAAGAAACATATTTTCTCTTTACCGTTTTTCATATAAGTTCCAACTAACCGAGGGGTGGCTCACTTGGACAAAAAATGTACATGTACTGCCAAAATGTAATTTTACTGCCAAGCGACTGCCAATGACTGCAAAGGAAAACTGTCTATGTCTGCCATATAATTATAGTCGACTAATTTCAACGACTGCCAGCGAATACCAAGAATGTTGTACATGTAATTCCAATAGTGAGACACACCTCGAAAATGAAAATTAAGTGAAATTTAAAAATTAAAAAAATGCTTTATTTAAAAAAAATCAGAGCCACAGGATTTTTTCTGTTTTTGCATCCCATTTAGTGCCGTAATTATACAGGGTGTCCCAGAAATAAGTGCAAGTATTTTAAGGGAGGTAGATCTCGATAAAAGGAACATATTTTATCTTCATCGTTTTTCAAATAAGTCCAAAATAACGGAGTTATCTTACTTTGAAATTTTCCAAACAAAAATGATTTTTTGGTCAAATTTTGAGAACCACTGGATCTTTTCTGGATTTTCTTTCTTGTAAATTTAATCTACTACCTATGTTGCCATATTATCAAGAAATTATATTTTTTAACTAAAAACTAAAAAAAATTCCCAAAATTTTTTTTCGTGAAAAAAACTGTGTTTCTGGGGTTGAACTTACTACCAATTAAAATACTTGCACTTATTTCTGGGACACCTTGTAGTGTTGCGGTTAAGAGGCTGTTCTAATTTTTTTTCTAAAATATGCAGTAAAATTAATAGAAATTAATTATAAGATATGCAGGGTTTTCAACACCTTTTTTTTGCAAACAAACCTCATAGACGTGTTCCTGAGGTCAAAATATACAACCGCTAAAATATATACACTTCTTGAAGACTCATCCTGTATACCTACATATATTGACTACTATTAACTAAATTAAGATCAAATTCAAAATACAAAATTGCTTGGCAAAAAAGCAAACAGATGTATTGTATGAAATGAAATGCATTGCGACGTCAGTTATAATTCCCTACACTCTATAAACGTATAAAGGTTTTTTAACCAAAAGCCATTTTGACTTGAAAAATATAATTTATATTTTACGTTCTTTTCTGTTAAATGTCTTACTATATTATTACATTCTCTAATTCTGCTCTAGGCAGTACTTGAAAATGTTCATATCCATAAATATTTTATGAATACTTTCTTTATGTTTTCTTTAATTATTTGTAAATATATTGTCAACTTGGTCGAACTTAAAAATTGTTGCTTTTAAAGTTTTATATTTTTGTATTAATAATTATTTTTAAAGCCAAAAGTATCATAAAAATCATTTTTTTTAAATATTTCCTTTAACTCTAAATTACATATTTTTGGTGATTTAGTAATTAAAATGATCTGTTCTAAAATTTTAAAATGGCTGTACAATATTTCAAAATAATACTCACACATCAGCAAAATCAGCATAACAACGCTAATGAAATAGAAAGGATCCTGCCCTGAAAATAAAACAATATGTTATTAGGTATACAAATCTATATTAAACGAATAAACAAAAGATGTTATCGTGGGGACTATAATAAAAAAAAGAATGAAATTATTGGGCAAACCTACAGTAAGATTAGCCATGAAACATAGCTAAAATACGACTACCCGTAGACACTTAGTGTTTCTGCCTTCCAGCTTCATCAATACGGGAGGAATCGGCAACGATAAACTAGCGATCTTGAAAAAAGAAAAAGGGGAAGAAAACGAGGTGCTAGGCACCATTTGCAACCTGGTTAAGTAGTAGCTCACAATTCGCAAGCGTTACTACCAAAAAACCGCTGCGGAGGTACTTCAACTTACCTCGCCGCTATCACATTGGCCCAGAGAAAACCAGGTTGCAAATGGTGCCTAGCGCCTCGTTTGCTTCCCCTTTTTCTTTTTTCAGGATCGCTAGTTCATCGTTGCTGATTCCTCCCGTATTGATGAAGCTGGAAGGCAGAAACACTAAGTGTCTACGGGTAGTCGTATTTTAGCTGTTTCATGGCTAATCTTACTGTAGGTTTGCCCAATAATTTCATTCTACTTTTATATATATATATATATATATATATATATATATATATATATATATATATTATATATATATATATATATATATATATATATATATATCAAATATTTTTGTGGATGGCGAAAAGTAAACTGGTGGATGATAAATAATAACACGTAAATCAATTATTAAGAATAACCTAGACTAATTAGTCAAGTGAGACATGATAGGACATAACAAGGAGCGAGAGTTACAACCTCTGGTCCTGGAGATCAGAAAATTATGCTGCATATTCAGAATACAAAAAAAGTTGAGTTCTTAAATCCAATTTGGTGGGATAGATATCTATCTCAAAAACTAAAGGAAAGGTTAGGATTATCTCTAATAAAATCAGTTTTTATTTTATTATTAGTCTGCACCAATAACTCCGATATGAGGCATAGATTACTAGCTACCAAAATCTAGTCCATTCTGGGAGCTAGCAATCTCTACGTACTCCAAGATGTAGTGCCAGAGTTTCTAAACCTGATAGAGAAAGGGACGACCGAATCAGAAACCGAGTCGAGCCACTGACACATTTATTGATCTATTTGAGATAAGATAAAATTAGATTTTTTTCAGATCAGAGGACTACAATATCCTCTTCTGATCCTTAGATTACATTCTCCAGTCCTATTCTTTCAGTTTTCCACAATTTTAGAGATTTGCTGGCTACCCGTCATTTTGTAGCCATTCTGATGACTGCTTTTGCAATGCCATAGAAACGTTTTCATGGTGCCGTTACACACAAGCAAGGAACATTTGTGTGGAACGCCTTATGTGGATTGACTATTTGCCTTATCGCACCCACTTACAATGTCTTTGTCCACCACACCACCGACCCGTAGGTTATCATCAGTCTTACACCTCTTATGTATAACGATTGACTCATTTTAGGGTTAAGTCCCTAGTTTTTTTTCATACATCCTTCTGTACCTACCTAAAGAGATAGCAGCCTTCTGTGTTATTTTCGCTGTGTGAGTATTCCGTGTGAGCTTTTGATCAAAAAAATACTCCAAGATACTTTGTTTCTTTGGCAAATGAAATCTTTGTTTCTCCTAGCATCTGTGGTTTTAGGACTTTTGGTGCTTTAATGCTCAGAAAAGACAAATTATCATATTTTTTTTAAGTTAACAATTTATGTTTTGGGAGCGTTGACTGTCAGTTTCTTTCTAATTGAGAGAAAATAACTTAAATAGTTATTTGGACGCCAAATCAAAATGAATTGTTCAAAATAAACAAAAAGGATATTTCAAAACAACTGAGGGAAGGCGATATTTTCAATAAAAGGCTTTGAAGGAGATAATGGAGAAGATGGCGGACGAGCCCCATCTTCTCATGATATTTTGACGACGCGACGTTTCGTGCACTACGAAACCCCAATCATCAATGATTAAAATCAAAGAATCGTCCGATTTAAATGAAATTTGCTATACCAATAGACTGGACCAAGGCCAACTGGACTGTGTAGTTTGACCGTTAATTTTGACGTAAGAAACGTCGTCGATCGTCGAAAGTTGATGTCGTCCGATCGCGACCAAATTTGGTGGGTAGGATATGTGAGCGACGGTGCACACGGTCGCACCCTGCAAAGTTGGATACGACGTTTTTTTTTAAATCTTCATCAGAGTGGAACTAACGATTTGATATTGAAGAAAAATGTGGGTCGATTTCGGCATAATTGGGGACGGGCTACAAGATGACGCCCTAGACGTTTCCAACCGATGTCTCTATATCGACAAAATCATCAGGATTTTTCTTAATTATGGGTCGATTGGAACCAAACTAGGCACGTGGATAAAGGTACCCAAATGGTATGCTCAGACCGCTCAGATGGACAGACGGAAGTAAGAAGAAGTTTCACTTCAAATATGCTCACATAGTGCACACACAATTATTTTTATATTATGAATACTTACAACTGTCTGTATTTATTTTTGCAAAAATTGCTGCTGTCCCAAATATAGACGTATGTAGTGCCAAAGTAAAAATAATTCTAGTCATAGCCTTTATTTTATGAGCTACAAACGCCAACAAGAAATTACTCAGAACAGTTGGTACCGTCGTGTATAGTTGGTTCAATGAATTGAAATTGGTTTGTAAGTACGTTCTTTCATTTGCATCTGTACTATTTGAGGTGGTATTCCTGAATTTATACATCCAATACTGAAAAAAAAAACAAAGAATCATATTTTATGAAAGTGAGAATTTATATATTTTTTATATTAGACTGATTTTCTTTATTTTATTATAAGAACTTCATTAGTTTACCTCATTAGCTGTCATAAAGAAAGTGTAAGGAAGCATATGTACTAAACCCAAAAGACCTACAACTACTAGTACAAAATAAAGTCGATCATTAGGTTCATTAGATATTTCAGAATCAATATTCTTTCCAATATTTTGGTCTTTCCCAAAAATATCATATTGCTTGCCAATTGAATGCTCCTTCTCGTTTGTTTTACTCGCACGATTGGAGGCTCTTGGTATAACTTCTATGTCAAAATAAGGCGGTGGTAAGGCTAAAAAAATACAAAAATTGGCATTATCAAATTTATCGGGTAAATAATAAATAAAAATAATAAAAGTGTTGTTTTAATATTTATAATGTAAACGCGTGTGTGCTGTGTATTTAGTTTATTTTTGTTTAGTTAGGTTAGGTTTTTAGTTAAAATTTAAGTGAAAATATCCAGGTTAATAAACCAGTTCTGTTGTAATAATTTCAAATAATAATAAAATTTTTGAAAAATGTCAACATGAAAAAGAGGGCGACATTGCGTGGTTGCTGGGTCTCAATACAACTCTCCCGGAACAACATTATACATCTTCCCAGCTTTATCACACCGATTTGATCAAAAACAAAAACGGATTCAGGCAGTTCGACAAAACAAGTGAGAAAAGAACGTGATTACATAAAGAACAAATTAAATTGGCATATGCTACGAGGATAAAATATAATTTAATCAATATTAATGGTTTACTTCTTATTAATCGACTAGTGCTTATTTTTTTATGAACGTCTTCTAAAATTATAATTATGTAGATACCCTTAAAATATTTTGTTACAATCCACTCAGTCCAGATAGCCCAAGATATGCCCCAACTAGCAAAACCATACAAAACTATGCCTAAAACTATACAGAACTATTCTCGCTACTGTAACCGGTGCCGGCGTGGTATTACACACCTCTAAAGTTTTATTAGATTGAATAATAAATTATTGTACATGTTACACCTTCTGAAGATATCATAAGTTTACCTTTTTATTCTATTTTTTTAGAATTTTCCGCAATTGTACTAATAAATTTTTCGTGTACTCGCTATATTTTTTAAGAAGCTAACTTAAATAACTCGGTTGTTTACGAGATTCTCCAATGGCGACAGCACCGGCAAAAATAAAAAAGGCTATAGATGGAATTTAAATATTTTTCTTTCTTCTTTAAAAAATCATGATACATGAAAATAATCAGAAGATAAATTAAGATAAATGCTGATTAACTAAATGCACTTGAGGGTAGTCAGTACTCAATTTGAAATATTTAACCTAATGATATCAAAACAATAGTTTTTAATAATCTAATTCAAATGTAGATAATATAAAAAAAATCCAGTTGGTATTTTAACTCAATTACTCTTATCGTTCATTGTATTTTTTAATTTATGGAATATAAATGAAAGAATTGATAATTAGGAATCGATCCACAGATACAGTGGAGCTAATTATTGTAGGAAAGGGTTCTGACTGTACTATATTTCGTGCATTTTTAGTAAATTAACCTATAAGCCATCCTATATGTAGATAATTACTAAAAATAATCGGAAATATAAAATATAGGAATATGAAAGATGTTATTTTATATATATACTAGCGTGTACCAGCGACTTCGTTCGCGTCGAATTAATCATTTGTAATGGTGATGATAAAGCAATGCAAGAATTTACATTAACATACAAACTGGATAAAAATTCCTCACATTTATGTCAGCATGAGAAAAAACAATATGGCGATATTATTACATAACTTGGTAATATTTGAGGGGTAGTTTCATCCCGTTGGAATTTTACTTTCGAAAAATCCGTTTGCCAAAAATAAGCTTTTTACGTCAAGCAGTTTAAGCAGAATCGTGGTTAATAAATTACCCAACTTTTTGAAACACCCTGTATGATTTTTTAAAAAAAATCAAAATATGTAAAAAAAACAAAATAAATTATGCCTGTCCAAGTGTTTTCCCGAAGGACTAACCGTATTTTAAATAACAAATATTGTAATATTTGAGGGGCGTTTTCACCCTCTTGGAATTTGAGATTCGAGAAACCCCTCCTTATCGACCCTCTACACCCCACAGTCAATCCGTTTGCCAAAAATCAGCTTTAAACTTCAAGCAGTTTAAACAGAATCGTGATTACTCAATTGTCATATTTTATGAAACACCCTGTATAATTTTTTAAAAAATCTTAAAATATGTAAAACAAAAAATAAAATATACGTGATTAAGAGTTTTTCCGAAAAACTCACCGGTTTTTAAATAAAATATATTCTAATATTTGAGGGGTGGTTTCACTCCCTTAGAATTCGAGTTTCGAAAATTCCCTTCTTATCGAACCTCTAGGGTGTAGAGGTTCGATAAGAAGGAATTTTTTCAATCAATTCGTTTTCCAAAAATCAGCTTTTTACGTCAAGCGCTTTAAACAGGATCGTGTTAAATCAATGACCAGATTTTTCGAAACACTCTGTATACATTTTTCAAAAATTTTAAAATATGTAAAAAAACAAAATAAAATACACATGTTTAAGCGTTTTTTCGGAAACTTGGCCGTTTTTTAAATAAAAAAATATTGTAACATTTGAGGGGTGGTTTCACCCTCTTGGAACTGGAATTTCAAAAATCCCTTCTTATCGAACCTCTACACCCTAGAATCAACCTGTATGCCAAAATTGAGCTTCTTACGTTGAGTGGTTTGAACAGGATCGTGATTAATAAGTATGTCAGTCACTTAAGGATTTTATATATTAGTAAAATAAAATATATATAAATATAGATAAAATCATTAGCCCATCGTCATAAAGTAGCTCATATAATACTTTATGTAAGCATGTGTCTGCATTTTGTGTCTTCTATTTCTTTTCGTTAATGAAACTTTTATTCTGATGTTCCAAAAAAAAGCTATCGATAATTTTAAGAAATAAAATTAACAGAAAATAAATAAAGACATCATAATACCTTTTAAATTTTTAAAAAATAATATGCTGGTTTTGGTCATTTACATTGTCATTTTTGAATTCATTGACAGTGACCGGGGAATGGCAATGGATGGTCATCTTGGCGAGGTCAAGCTCTAGACGTCATTTACTTAGCCCATACTCATATTTATTTTTTAGTAGCGCTTACTGCCAGTTGGCCTTAAGAAGATTGTAATTTATGTTTATATCAAAGTAAAGTAAGTAAAAAGTCAAGTAAAAATGATTTTTATAATGGTGTAGTTTAAAACTATGGCATTTTGTAATGGTGTAGTTCAAAAGTCGAGATTTTTTTTCTTGATTTGTGTGTCTGGAAATGATCTATCTGTTTTTTAATATTTTTATAATTAGAGTTAATTTTTGTCATTCCTCAGCTGTTTTTGACACGGTTTTTTTAACATATGGTAGTATAATTTATATCGTTAGTTTGTAATATTGAATAAACTTGTATTCGTACTTACGTTCTATAATGTAAATATTTTCTTCTGAACTCGCCATACTTATAAAACAAATGGACCAATTCAAACTAATATTAATTTAATTGTTTTTTTAAGTACAATTACCAGTTTAAATTATTAAATATATGTATTGATAACATTGATCGTTTGAGTATTATCAAGATTTATATATAATGTGTACGGTATTGATCGTGTATGATTTGTGATGCAAGTATATTTTTTTAATATATATTTGACAGAAATGGTTAAATCACGTGTTTCGCTCATACGAGCATCAGCAGACAAAAATTAAAATTAACAACAGCAAACACAGTGTTAAGTGTCGTGGTTTGAGTGTTGTTTGAATATGTAAAATGTGAACGTACCTATGTTATTTTAATTTTAATTTTTTCTGGTGGTATAAGCGAAACACGTGTCACATAGTTTTAATATAAATATGTATGAAACCGAGACTTCGAGTTTTTTTCATTTTAATTTAAGAGCATTCAGCATTGTCCTTCCATAAAATCATAATTTTACTTTTAGTTCGACGGATACATTGAATAAAATCTTTTTCAGAAGGTATTTTTTTATAAAGAGTATTATCATTATTATCAGCATCATTTTTAGCATATTAATTGTTTTAGCAAAAATTTGTTACTTTCTGACTATACATGTTCCTGTACCTAAAATAAATCGTTTTTAAGTTATTAAAGATTTAGCTTTAAAGCGTATATTTTTCTCGATTTTAACCAGTAGCCTATATGGCAGTATATTATGGATTATCATTTCCAAGCTAACTTTGCGCTGTTTTTTTTATCGTACGGTATATTATTAAAATATCATAATATAGGAAATTCAAATAATTCATTTTCTGACAGATGGAAATAAATTGTCTGACTGTTTGACACTAAAAGGAAGCTAGATAAAATCAAGAAAAATATACGTTTTCAAACTAAATCATTTATGATAATTTTTAAATCGCTCAATTCCATGACAAATACCGCCATTATTATATGACATTTGAATAATTTAATTTTTGAAATAGATAGCCACATGTCTTTTCTTTATGTCACAAGGGCTATCATAATCACTAAATTTGACTTTTAGGCCGTACAAATTTTCTGGACAGGTAGTTTTTTTCGTCCAAAAATTTTAAATATTTTTTTCTTAAAAATGCTTCCAGGGAAATACCGCGACAAAATATCGCGATTTGTAAGTCCTCCAAGATCCGAGGGGCCCCTTCGCTGTCGCAAGCCCGTGGCCCCCGTTATACTAAAGACTTCACTGCTCATCATCAGTAATGAAGCTAGAATACAAGTTATGTTGTGCATTGGTTGTAATTTAAAATGTTTATTCAGTAAAAATTAATTATGAAACCATTGAAAAATAACTTAAAAGCTAAAATAAATAAATTCAGTCTCAAAATATATAAAAAATAATAATTATTCGATCTTTTAAACAAAGAAAATTACCCCTTGATTTAATTTCCTAAATAGAAAATGCCATTGACAATTACTGGGGCCTGATAATTGATAATTAGGTAAATATCTGCTTCCATTTATACTGTTTATAGTTGGCGTATACGTATGGTTTGCATACTCCACCTACAAACTGCTTTATAACTACTGCTTTATAACTACTTTATAACACATATTAGCCTTGTTTGCCCGTTAAATAAAAAATTACTTATTAAGATTCGGAGGCCCTCTAAGAGACGGGGCCCGGGGCGGACCGCCCCTTCCGCCCCCCTTTAGACCGCCACTGGCTAAGAGTGATTACGTTGCATAATTTTTGGAAAATAAATGGTTTTTCGTTAACATGTCAGTGTAATGTCTAGTTTGTCGGATGAAACAAACAGCAACCAAAGACTTCTCTCCTTTTCTCTCCACGTTCTTCCAAAAGTTCTTCCCCCCTTTCCTCTCCGCGAATATTGTCTCTTGACGGCACTATAATTCATTTTCAGCAGTTCGTGGGACATTTTAGAAAAAAAAATGAAAACTGGAAAATTTTGACTGACCGTCTTTGTGGGAAATTCTATTTCGGAAAGTTGGCAACACTGTCCATACCGCTATTTAAGAATAAAAATGTTGCTAATTTGAATAAACCTGTACGTAAGAGATCTCACGGTCGTCAATCCAAACAATCTTTTTAAACATTGATACGCCAATATTTATCTTTATAAGTAGCTTGTCCCACTTATGGCTGCACTCATGTCACACATTGTTTATTGAAATATTTGCAACAGTATAATAGGTAAAAAATTAATTGTTTTGGTATGTTATTTAATGATAATTAGATTGATATAAATATTGTAAGTACTTCAAAAATTTTGAATCGGGATAATCCAAAGATTTTTTTGAATTATTCTGCTTATATGAAGCAGAATAATTCAAAAAAAATTACGGGTACTTGTAGAACTCCCCGTATGTATGATACGGGGAGTTCTACAAGTACCCAAAATTTTGAGAAGCATCTGCCTAAAATGTAAGATTTTTGACATAATTTCACGTTTTATAAAATAGAAGAACTATTTTTAACTTTCAATAAAAGCTATCTAAATTGGAATTTACCAGGTATGGCCTAATATGCAGTTAAAATAACCATTACTCTTTAAATCGAATTAAAACTTAACCCAGAACGTTATACGGGGTGACACAACATTAATATTTTACATTAGTCCCTTATAAAAGCAAGCTACTTTTTTATTTTAAATGGAACACCCAGCATATTATTCCGATATTCAAGGGAGAATTATTTATTCATGTCTCTTGAAAATTCAGTTAAAGTTGCCTACCTCTTCTCATGATTCTAAAGTAGATCTTTACTACTCTTTTTATTTACTCGATGTTACCTTTACATAACCCGATGTTACCTTTACATAGCTGTAAAATTAATTCAACTTTAACAACTAGTTATTAATTGAGTCGCCTAGTTTCAAAACCCGACAAATCCATTTTTCGTGAAAAATGAGTTATATTATATTAACAATTTAAACTCCTTTCCGAAAATCAATATGGATACGTGGAGTCCAAATCCGCAAGTGATGCTATTATAAAACTATCAGAATTGGCTTCGAAGGCACTTGATGCATCCGAGGTTTCTTTGAGTGTTTTTGTAGGTTTAGCAAAAGCGTTCGATACAGTTCACCATGAAATCCTGTTATACACACTTAGTAATATGGGTTTTAGAGGAAGGACCAACGATCTATTTAGAAGCTATATAAATAACCGACAGCAAAGCGTGTCCATCCAGGGTGTTAAAAGCGAGAAAAGGGTGGTCACCTATGGTGTACCTCAGGGTACTGTATTGGGCCCTGTACTTTTTTTGTATATACATTAATGAGTTACTAAACTTGAAACTCGATGCACATATTTGGAGTTATGCTGATGAGACAGCAATTTTCTTCAGATCAACGTGTTGGAATCAATTGAAAGCAAAAGTAGAAAAATCAATGGAAATAGTGTGCAATTTCTTTAATAATAATCTTCTTACTGTTAACTTTAAGAAAACTTTCTTCTTACCTTTTGCCTGCTATTCAGATACTCTTCCAAAATTCAATTTAGATATAACTTATAACAATAAGCTAGTGACAATAAGCTCAACAAACAAATTTGAGTATCTTGGAGTAATATTTGATAACCACATGAAATGGAATTATCATATTCAGTTTGTGACTAAAAAGTTAAGATCACTTATTGTAATATTTAAGTTTTTAAAAAGTATAATTCCTATAGAATTACTAAGAAATGTGTATTTTGCTTTAGCTCAGAGCCATTTACAATACGGTATTGTGGCCTGGGGATCGGCAAGCAAAAATCAATTATCAAGTGTAAATATAGTTCAGAAATGGTTGCTGAAAATAATATACCATAAAAACTATAGATATCCCTCTGATGCCTTATACAAGCAGCCATATTTGACGCTAAACAATTATTTTGGTTTAATACATTATCTATAACATTCAGCAATAGAAGTAAAAATAATTTAATCCCACTTTCATACTCACTACGTCGACGCGAATTAACTATTAATGTACCTCGGATGCATAAAACTATCGGACAAAAAAGTTATTTATATGTAGGACCTAAAATATTTAATGTTTTACATAAAGAAATTGTTAATTGTCAAAACATTAATATTTTTAAAAAAAGATTAAAAGAATGGATACTTGGTAGAACAATAACCGAAATGCATACATTTATACTCAGCAAAATGTGAACTATTAAAAACCATTCACAATAAATATAATATTTGAAAAAAAAAATGTAATCTTATATGCCTTAGAACTTGCAATCTACCGTATGTCAATATCTGACTGCTGTGTAATAACTTGTTTTTAAGCGTGCTTAAGTGTTGGACAATGAAATAAATTAATTTGATACATTTAGATATAGTTTAAGAATTTAGAATAAAATATTGTAGTTATTGTTGTAGAAATAAAACTCCTCAGACAAGGTTCTACCTTAAGAGGATATTATGTTTATTCACTAATTTGTATTCGTAAGTTATGTATAAGTCTTGTATATACTTTGTAACTGGAGCAGTTTGAATAAACATTATTTATTATATTATTTATTTTTATATATGTTAATGGATTCGTCTTCTAGTTCTTTACAACCTAATATCATATATACTTTTCAAACTACGACAAATCCTATCATTTCCTGGCACTAAAATATTGACTTTATATTCACTCTTTAACAACTCTAAAACAGTTTTTTCCAATTTCTCAACATTCGACTTGTGTGGATTTGTCGTGTTTTGAAACTAGGCGACTGATTTATTATTTTGTGTCAGTTAAATTGAAAACATTCTCTAAAAATTATGAAAATGGAAACGTATCTATCATTTAATTGATACGATTCGATTAATTGTTGAATGCATTATGCATTCACCTAATTATAAAATGTTTAAAAGCTCCTGATACTCCACCAACTCTACTGTCATCAATATGAGATTGTGGCTGATTTTCTCAGTATAACTTCACACATGCCTCTTAATGTGAAAAGATCTTTTGAAAAGAGAATCATTTTACGCAGTGAAGAAGAAAGAATACATTTCGAGCATTTTATTTCATCTAGCTAATTTTTGTCACATTATTACCTATATGTTTACATATATAGTTATAATTGTGTAATAGCAAAAACCTGTTTTAAACGTGTATCATTTTATTACCGTTGAATATTTTACTCTACAACCT